CATCCCTGTAACATCCATTTGCTCAGGACAGAGTATACAGGAACAGAATAATTATTCGTTAATATCCTGAAAACATCTCACTTCTACCCCTGCTCTCTTAGCTTCCAAAAAAAAGAGAAATACCTTGAGCAGTGTTTCTACTTTGACTCTTTGAGACTGAGACTATATCTCATGTAGAAACTCACTGAATTCAGTTACTGGGAGAAGTACCTTCCCAGTGTCCCACACTGCCTACGGTAAAGAGCACTTCAGAGCTTGCAAGGTTAGAGCAAGAAAATAATTTTAAATGTAGAAAACAAAAATGGGACATTTATTTATAATTCAACCCCCCCTACCCCTCCACCCCCAAGTTCCAAAACACTAAGCAAGAGGGTAAAGGATTAAATATAAACAGCAAGTTCCACCGGGGCCCTACTTCTCCAAGGCTGTGTGGTCACATGGAATCTCTGCAGGGAACACCTGGCCAGCAGAGGACCTGTCAGCGTCGCCTTCTGTCTGGACTCCTGCTGCGCCGCCGGCCACCCCTAGGAAAAGGGAAAGGAAGGGTGTTGTTGGGGGTGATGGTGGGGGAGGTCCATCAGAGAGACCTGCAATGTCCTTTCTCTGTTTCGCTCATATTCCCTTCACCAAGGTAGTGTCTGCCCCTCCACCTCACCTCCTCTTGCCCTTGGGTGGACCCCGAACAAAACACCAGTCCACACTGATCGGCTGTCCCATCAGATCCTGGCCGTTGAGTCCCTCCATCGCAGCCTGGGCCTCCTTGTATGTTTCATACTCAACGAGAGTATACCCCTAGGGCAAGCGAAAGACGGCGATCAAAACCCTGTCCCGCCAACTTTAAACAACGTGCATCACACATCCCTGCTGTATACCCCACAGGTTCCTCGGCTCCCGTTTCTGCTGCGTCTAACAAACTCCATTTCCAATGTCATTTGATTTTAACTTTGCTCCTGGCCGACCAGCGCGAGGGCGGGAGATCTGCCCCTGCTAAGGGTGATGGGGGGAGGCAAGGAGTGTAACTCAGTACCTTCAGGTACCCCGTGCGCCTGTCCAGGTTGAGGTGGATGTTTTTTATTTCCCCATACTCTGCGAATTTGTCATGGATGTCTTCCTCCGTGGCTTCCTCATGGACCCCGGAGACAAAGAGAATCCAGCCTTCAACAGAGCACTGGGGCCCCGGCTCGTCGCCATCCTGCTCCACGCTGTCGTAAT